TAACAGACTAGAGGAGGACAGGAAAGAAAAATGATAGAAGTTACTTTTTACAGTTTCTGTATCATTTTAAGACTATAATGAATTTTTTAATGCATTCTAAGACTTTTGGGTAAAGGCATATTTTTAAAAGTCTAATAATACCTCTAGATAAACTTACTTAGTCATAGTGCACATTTTATCTATTTCACATTAAGTATGACTATTTAAATGGTAAGAATATATATGCATATATGAGTTCACACAATGACAATGATATTACTACATGAGTCTCTCTTCTTATTTAATTGTATAAACTCTCTTTTGAAACCTGAAATGGTTGTGTAATCAATGCATAATAGCTAAACAAAAATAATGTGGCATTTTAATTCACATATGTACAAATTGAGGGTGGATTTCGATGAGATGAAGGGAAAAAGGATAACAAAATTCAAGTCTAAGATTTTTTCTCTAACTCTATGACCTTGGATAAATTTCTATTCTGTAAGATGCAGGCAAAAACTGCCCCCTACCTATCTTTTGGAGCTGCTGCAAGATTTATTAAACTAGGGGAAAAAAACCCAAAAACTGTTTAGAGGACTGATGAGATCCAAATTACATAAATACAGCACAGTACTGTTATCTTCAAGAGGTATGTGAAGTTGAATTAACTTTTACAACATCCTTATGAGTCAGGTAGATAATCTTAGACCCATTTTTACAGATAAGAGGGCTTAAGCCCTTCTGTTAAAGCCACTTAGCTTGGGTGTATGAGAAGAAAAAAATTACTGGATTCAGACCTAGCCCAGTATTTGTTGATATCTGAAAGTAGTTTAAAGGGCAGCTTTAAAAAAACATCTGCTCATCCCCTTGGCAGGCAATGAGAAGAGTCTGCATATTATTCTCCCCAGTTTTCCTTCTGAGGTTCTTCATGAAATTGATCTGAAATGCAAGACACCTTGTCTCAATGGTATCCAAGGGGAGCCAAGTATTTTGAGAGCTATTAAAAGACATTGTTCTAATGATGAGACATATAATGTGATTTAGTGCAGCTGAAGCCAAGATATCCATCAGCTATAGAGAGACCTGGGAGAAAAGGAAGAAGAAAAACCAATGTGACAGCCACTGTATTTTGTGCAGTAAGGTTATGCGTGTGATGAATACACCACTCTCTTTAACGTTACCCCACCCCCACCAATACAAGAAAATATAAATTGGAGAATACAAATTTTTCCTTCAGCTTAAACAAACTTGCTCACCTGTCCAAAACTGCTTGCTCAATGTTACTAAAAATGATTCAAAGTGCTAATTGGAGTGCCTGGCACATAGTAAATTGTCAATAAATGTTATCTGTTATTAGTTAGATTGGAACAGAAACAGTATTACATAAAGTCAAGAACATATTAGGGATAAGATGCCTGGGTTGAAGCCTTGCCTCTTGCACTAAGTTGCCATGTGACTCTGGGGAGTTTGTGATCTGTTAGGACACATGATAAAGTGAGGACAATGATAGCACTTAGTTGAGAGAAATTGTGTAGAAAAACGAATGAGCTGGTAGGTGTAAAATCCTTAGCATGGTTTCTGGCACATGTCTACATCTGTTTTACAAAGTGTTAGCTACCAGAAGTTGTGCAGGTAAGGCTGCTACACGAGTGCTGCTCAGCCAGCCAAGTGTTATTTATTGAGCACTTACCTTGAGCCAGGCACTGAAGGGGAGACAGGTCCTTATGCACATGTAGCTTTTTTGAGGAGTATTAACAAAAAACATTCAAATAAAATAATTGAAGGCTATAACATATGCTGGAAGAAACTAATAAGGGACTGACACAGAAAATGTGAAAGGAGTTTCTTCTTAGGTAGGGAGTCAGGGAAAGTCTCTCTAAGGAAGTACATTTAAAGAGAAGATCTCAAAGAAGATGAGTCAACCATGTGAGGTGGAGATGGTGTTGGGCATTCCAGGCAGGTGGAACAGCATATGCAAAGGTTATCAGTTGGAAAAAAAAACTTGGCACATCAGAGGAAGGGATTGCCTAGAGTGGCTGGAATATATGGGAGAGGACAGAGACTGCTGCCAAATGCGATTGAGGACCGAGCAGGGCCCAGCTCATGCAGGCTTGTTTGGCCACGGTGAGGAGTGTGGATTTTCTTCTGTTTACAATAGTAACTCAGCGAAAGATTTTAAACAGTGGCAAGGAATGATATTTTTTATGCTTTTGAAAGACCACTTTTGCTGCTATGTAGGGCAAGGCATCTGACAAGACATATATATATATTATTATATATATATTATATAATAATATATATAACATATATGTGTTGATCAGTAATTAAATGTTAACAAGGCTATTGTTCTCTTCCTGCACACAAATGAATCATCTTGTGGTACCCTTTGGGTACTTGTACCCCAGTTTGGAGATGACTATTCTAAAGAAAGGATGGAGCAGAGCAATGTGGAGTAGGGAGCGCGGGAAGGAGGCTGTTGTGCTAGTCTAGGTGAGAAGTGATGGTAACTTAGACGGGGAGGTGACATATTTTTCATATACATAACAAAATGTCCTTATTGGAATATAGATCTCTCTACTGGCCTTTGATATCAACTATGTTCCTAATTAATGCACTACATTAATAGAACCTATTGGGTTGCTTAGTGGGTTGTTGGATTAAGAACACCTTGAAATAGTCTAGCCCGATTTCCCCTCTGATTAGCTTATTTCTTGAAGTCTTCTGGAGCAGGAGCATGATTTAGGGAATTACTGGTACTTTCCCTTTCTGCTGGTTGACAAAATTCAATGGGGATCAGAGCCATAAGAAAAAAAAATGAATTTATAAAAACAACAACAATACTTGGAGCTAATTTCATCTCCATCTGTGTAATTTTTTTCTCAAATGAATAACGAAAATCAGGCATTAGAAAAGTGCCTGCCCTTTACGAATTCTTAGCAAATAGCCTGCAAATGCTTTCACTTTAAAGGGATCGTTGTAACAGGTGTGTTTTAAAAGATGGGCGTGGTAAACTCTTTGGGGAGGAAAAATCAGTTCTACTTGTACCAGTTCTTCAGGACGAGCTTCATTTTGAAACCAAAACAATCTAAATTTTGGTCGGGCAATAATAGACTAAGACGAGAAAATTTGAATCCATTAATTTCTTCTTTTCCATTCTGCCTTTTCCAGTCCTAGATCTGGATAGGAATTTATATGGGTTCTGACTTTTTTATATGGGTTTTCCTCTCTTGGAGAATTCTCGCACACTTATTCAGACTGGAAAGGAGGTGAGCAGGGCATAGAAAGAAGGCATTAAGCAAATGAACCTACAAAGCTCAAAACCTTGCTGAGGAGAGGAAAACAGGTGCCCTGGGCTGTGACAAAGGACATTTGTAATTCTGGGAAGAGCGAGGACCCCTGGCTCTTCTCTCTTCCATCCAGAAGCCACAATCTGCCAGACAGTGTTCCTTTCTCTGGAGGATTCAGGCCCGGGGAGTAAACGTGCTTTTGGGAGAACAGTCTGTGTCTCCTTTAATGACAAACAGGACACTCTTTTGTCCTTTTAATTATTCAGTTTAATGGCTGAGAAGCCTGCCCTCCTTGCATTTGCACATTTCTTGGATTGGTCTTAAGAACAACAATTTAAATTAACGTTTTGTAACACAACTCTGGGTTGAACTGATTTAAGAGAAATTCCTCTTGGACAGGCATCAAAAGGGGTGTCATTAATTGAAGAGTAATCCTCATCACTGTTACTTTCAAGTTGGTTCCATCACAAACTCAGCATTCAGAGTATTCAGTGAGGTTACCTCTGCAAGTGTTGAAATGAACAAAAATGTAATTAGAAACTGGAAATTGTACTATTGTGTTGTGGCATTCATTTATTCAATCAGCAAACATTCATTAAATAATTTAACAGTTAACAGGTGATAAGGCAGTATTATTAAGCACATGAAGAGTACAAAGAAATCTGAAGGTATTTCAACCCTTAGAAGCAAACTTTCTATTTGAAAAAGGCTTCGGTTTTGAGAAGTTCTTTGTAATTTTCAAAGCCCATTCACCTACTATAAATCTTCATCTGAACTTTTGAACAGTAGCAGGGGAGCTGGGCTGGGCGGCCATTATAATCATACAATTATAGAATTGTGGGATTGGAAGGGATTTTAAAGGTCATCTAATGCAACCACTTAATTTTAAAGTGTAGGAAGCTGAGAGATTGCCGCTTGTCTGAGGTCCCACAGCAAACTAGTGGTAGAGCACCCAGCATAGACTTGAAGTTGGCTAATAAGAGTCTTAAGGCATGTGTTAGTAGCTCTGGGCTGGGCACAAATGACACGGAATAAATACAGCACCATGCCTCCTTTCCTGTATTTATTTGCATTTGGATACAGAATAGACTCACAATAAATATTTATGGAATTAACGACTGGCAGATTTCCTATCAGGTAGGGCCCTATGTCAAGCACTGGGGACAAAATGGCAAACAAAATAAGTTGGTCGCTTCTTCCAGGATGCTCCCAATTTGGTCTTCCTGTCCTCAGTGAGTTTGTAGTCTCTAAGGAAGCCAAGATAGAGGCCCACAAAAATCAGGAAGATCGAATTCAGACAAAGTGGGTGATTTAGGAGGTCAGGAAAGGAGTCTAAGCAGATAATTGATGGAAAAATCCCCCCAAACTACACACACACACACACGCGATCATTTAATTACATCATTCTCTGCTGCAGCCTTTTCGGGATCTCCCCCAGGCCGGACACTCAGACTCTGCTCGAGGTAAGATCCAGATGCCAACTCACCGAGACTAAGAAGGGAAAGAGCAGGAGCTCACCCATCCCTACCTTCTAAACTGGAAAAGACCCAGGGAAAGAGAAACAGCAACAGAGACTGATAGAAACAATAAAACAGGAATAGGAAATTCCCGACACAGTGACCACTCCGCGAGCTCCGGGCTGGCCGCCCCCGCGGGAGGGGCGCGCGGGCTCACCGCGGAGACCCGCGGCCGCGCGGGCGCAGAGCGGGCGGCGGCGAGCAGCGGGCGGAGGCAGCGCCGGCGAGCCCAAGGGGGGGGTCGGCGGCGCCTCGGGTGCCCGCAGCCACCAGCTCGCAGCGCAGCTCCGGAGCGGGACGCGGCGCCGGGAGCCCCGGCAGCGCCAGCCCTCCCTCCCGCGTCGCCTGCCAGCGCGCCAGCGCCCGCTCCGCCCGTGACTTCAGTTCAGCTCCACCCCCGCGTGGCGGCTGCTCGCTCGGTCCGAACCGGCGCTCGGCACCAGCCCAGCCTGGACAAGCGGCAGCCACCTGCCCCGCGCCGTCTCCGTCTGCCCCCGCCGCGGCCCAACTTGGATGGAGTTGGGGTACTGAGCGCCTGCCCCCACAGCCGGCCAGCGGAGAGCCCCGCGCCGCCACCTCCGGTCCGGGACCTTCTCTCCACTCCTCTCTGCTCCTGCGATGGGAAAAGTTGGCGCGGCCGGCGGCTCCCCAGCCGGGCTGAGCGCGCTCCTCGCCGGCGCAGGGCTCTTGGTCTTCTGCGCCCCGGGCGCCTGCGGCGGCGGCTCTTGCTGTCCCCCGCTGCACCCCAGCCCGAACCAGCGCTGGGCTCCGACCCCAGGGGGCTTTCCTCACCAGGGAGCGCGAGGCAGGGCTCCTGCCACGCCCCTGCCCCTCCTTGGGCGCCCTCTGTTCGCAGTGGCCCCGGGAGACCGAGCGCTGTTCCTGGAGCGGGCCCCCGGCCCCGGGGGGTCAATGGTGGTTGCTCCCCGCTCTGGCCGGAGGAGACGGAGTGGATCGGATCAGGAGAACGCACAAAGGGGAGAGGGCGCGAGTAGAAGCCCCCGGGGAGTGCTAAGGGACGGAGGGCAGCAGGAGCCTGGGACTCCGGAGCGGGACCCGGACAAAGCCACTCGCTTCCGGATGGAGGAGCTGAGACTGACCAGCACCACGTTCGCGCTGACAGGCGACTCAGCACACAACCAAGCCATGGTCCACTGGTCTGGCCACAACAGCAGCGTGAGTAGAATGAGACTGAGGGCAAAGGAATGAGAGATGGAAAGGGTTAAAGTGGGCTCTGTGATCTGAGGGAGAACTTGGGGAAATGGGCTTTCTGGACTTGAAAGATGCTGCAAACTAAAGTCTTGCTTGCTCACCTCCCCTAGAAGTTAATGTTACCTATTAGATGACCAAACACCCCCAGCCCCCAGCACCATCAGAGTCCTCTCCAAACCCGAATAAAGCTTGTAATGGGGCAGGCGAATCCCTATTTCCTGTTTCTTTGGTCTCCTAGGTGTAGTATGGATCTGAAGACCAGGCAAGCAGAGGGGGGTTAAAGTATTCTGAATGCAGAGGTGAAAGGGTTAAATTTCCAGGCTGGCTGACATTCTCTCAAGTGACTTTCCCTTTACTTGCTAGACTTAATGGATGAGCTCAAGTAAAATCCAGAAGGCTTTATTTGTAGGCTTTTAATTTTATTTTTATGCAGAGCTCCTAACCTCCTCTTACCCATAAGGGAAGAGAGATGCAATGCACAGTGGAGGCTAAGGTGCCCTTAGTGTATTCTGTGTTTCTGGGGACCAAGTGGATGCAAGTTTCAGGACGGGAACTCTCCAGCATCTTCTAACGGCACAAGCCACTGTGTTTTGAGAGCTGGGGCTTTCCAGCCTGTGAATGAGTGGTTGTTCTCTGGCATGATCCGTCCCAGGGAGATCAGATATATCCCAGTGACAACAACTCCCTGTTCTCCCCCACTGCCTGACCTCCTCTAGTGAAGAGCACAAATAAAGGCTTAGCTCTCCCTTTCTGAGGGGACGAGAGGGATTGCTGGATTCCAGGAGGCTGACGCTGGGGAGAGTGTGTGCAAGTCCGTGAGCTTTGGCCACGGCAGGAAAGCTTTTAGATTTTTGGAAAAGCCTGCATGTCTGGAATCTTAGGTAGCTATTCTAGTTTAAAGTGCACCTGGAAACTTCAATGAGCTGAAATAGTAAAGAACCAGCTTTGGTGATGATAACAGAAGGCTATTTAAAACTGTGGAAACTTCTGGCTTCCATGAAGCAGTCAAGAAAAACATAAAAACCAAGGATAGGTAAAATGAAAAAAAAATTGAAGTTCAGCTTCTCTGACGTTATTGAGATTGTAGTATTGGTAATATGCACCGTCTATACAACCTGGTACCTTTCAAAATGTTTTCGGTTGTGATGTAATTGCCAGAAACCTTCCTAAGGCAAGTGCCACTTCAGTGAGTTGTGTTCGCTGTCAGCTTTTTAATGAAAGTCGTGAACATTTAAAAATAACACTCTGTCATTATGCATTTCATGGGTGCATAGTTATAAACTGTGTTAAGGCAAATCGTAATAAGTAGTGTTTTGTATTATGTCTCTGTCTTGAGAACATCGGCAGGATTTTTCCTACAATTCAGCCTTCGTGACTGAGGCTGTGGTTTTATATGGTTCTCAGGAGCGGTTTAATCAAATAATTGAAGTCGAAATTCTTTTTATTCAAGTTCTGCAGACCCTTGTCATCACGCCTTACCTTAACTATCGTCTCTTTTATATCATAACCACTAAAATTAATCCCGCAATTTGAACTTGAATCTTCTTAAACTGATTGAATAACTTTTGCCCTGCTTTCAGTGATTAACTTGAAGCTTCTGGCTTTAAGGGGAGATTTCAAACACATCAAACATATTAGATCTTATTGTATCAAAAAGTAAAGGACTTTGGACTCAAAATATTTCTGGCTTTTAACGTAATTCAAGCTGTAAAATATCACTCACCCATTAGACCCCTACTTTAGTTCATCTCTTGAAAGAGCTTGGAAAGAGCGAGAAAAGGAGAGTACATTTTTGGCAAATTTGAAACTTCATTTAAGATATGGCCCCAAACACTGCCAGACTTTTTTTTTTTTTTTCTGCATGGTGCTTATAAACCCAGTAGGGCTTATTAGGGTCACCACTTGCATAGGCGACGTGCAGGGGAGTCTGAGATAATGTAGGAAATAATCAAGGCATGTTAAAGGTTTGAGCACTCAAATCATGTTACTAATGAGATTTCTATCCCCTGAAGTCCCTTCTTCTGTAAGGACGCCTCTGCCCGCCATCCTGCTGCCTACACACACATTGGTTTTTTTTTAGTATATACGTATCAATGGTAGAGAGAAAGCAGTAGTCTTTATCCAGGTCCTCCAAAACAAAGCTGGCCCAGATTCCTAGGAGGGACAAAGTTTAAAATATTTTTTAAAGGGAAAGAAGGCAGAAAGAAACTTTTCTGGGCAACTTTGTCACATGAAAAGCAGAGTGGAGATCTGAGTTCTAGTTCTGCTTATTTGTGGTTTGATCTTGGCAAGTTAATTGCACTCCGAGTATGAATTTCCTCGTCTCTGAAATGGGGGCAATGCCTGTCGGATTCATTACAGAGAATTGTGTGCCAGATAGATATAGAGGGCATTGTGACTGTAAAGTGCCATACACCTGTGTGGAACTCTCCTCTCACAGCACTTCACTTTCCCCCAGAGTGAGAGATCTGCTATCCCACACCTGAGGACAGGACTGGGGGCTCTCATTTTTTTCACGTTTTGATTTCATCCCCCGTAAATCCTCCCTCAACCCATTCAGGGCCACAGACAATAGGGAACTGAACTTGTCTCACCTTTAGCTAAAAAGCCTTTGCTAAGTATGGCTCCTGATTCCAATAACACCTGCATTAACAGTGTAAATGTATGGTAATTATAGGCTGCCTGTCAAACTTGTGAGAAATTCTGATGTTTCTCTCACCCCCTTCCCTCCTCCTTCCTGTCCCTCCGCCGTTGGACTTGTGCAGTTGTGTAAAGACATGACTGCTTTGCCTTCTCCGTGGGTGTGATGTGATTGCTTCATCCTGCAGTCTAGCTTGATGGAAACTGTTGCCAGAGTTGGTGGAACACCTGGGGGGATCTTTTGGCATGAAAGGTGCTGGGTATGAATCATTTGTCATGAGCTTGGTGTCATAAGCAAGAACATATTGTTCCTACCCTACTCATCCGAGGCATGCTGTGCCCTGATCTAAATTTATATAGTAATCCTTAGTTTGTTAAAAATATATATTTGTCTATATATGTGTGTGTGTGATGGGACATGTGTTTATTCCTTATTTCCAAGGAGTTTCAAAGTGCCACACTCATTAAACCTTATAAAATCCTTGTTAGGGAATAGGTAGGTGGCAAGTGTTAATATCTCTTTTTCATATTTCTATGCTGGAGTCAATTTGAATATTTCAGTTCACCACCTTGTCCCTTTCTCACTGGAAATAGTGTTATAAGATTTGCTAACAGAGGCTTTTGCTTGACATATTTTGCCATTATGATACCTTTACTGCAGCATTTATCATAGAGCATGATGGTCTGGTTGATTTCCATATACTTCTTTGCTTTAGCTGTTCTGTGACTTGACATGGACCATCCAACCTTAGTGAATAAACTGAGTCCCAACCTTGGTCAGGTTTTTTGGTAGATGCCACCATCTCACTTAATTTTTACAAAAATATTGTCAGTAGATGTTATTATTCCCATTACATAGAGAAGGAAATTGAGGCTTTGGAAAGCTAAATGACTTGCCAAGAGGGTGCAACAGTTGAGTGGTGAAGGAGAGACTGGGGGATCTGCCCTCTAAATCCCACAGAATCGCTTGGCTTAGACACTTTAATGTAAGCCAGAGAAACTCAGACTTTTGGAATCTGTACTATAAATAATCCTATCTTGGGTGGATTTCAGATGATGATGGAGGAGGGCATAGTCTTATCTGGAAGCTCCATCTCTTTGTAGAAAAGCAAGGACTGTCACATGTGCCTGTCACGTTGTTCTCTTTCCCTTAAGGAGTGATTTGTTGTTCTCTTATCTGCCCACCTCTTCATCTTTTGTGAGACATGGAATCTGCACCTGGTGATTCATTGAGCACGAGATACCTTGCCATCATTCAGCTTTCGGATCTGGTGTTCTTCAGGCATAGATTCCTTTTCTAAGTTAGTTACAAATCTGCTTTTATAGCGAGGTTGGATATGAACACTTCATTGGCTATACATTTTGAAATATTTTTTTTACCTTTTTTTTTAAGCAAAATGGTGAAAGATTTAGCTTTCTGTAGCAAGCCCACATAATTCCTTCTCTGATCAGTGCTTTGTGCTATTAATGGATGTTAATGTGGTATGACATGGAAGGCAGTGGGTTTGGAAGCAGACAAGTTTGAGTTTGAATGTTAGTTCTGCTTACCAGCACTTTGCCTTGAGCCAAACACTTCAAGTCTTTGAACTTCAGTTTCCTCAACTAAAATATGGGGAGAGTATATCTTTTGCAGGCTTTTCCCTGAAGATTTGACGTCATGTATGTGAAGTGGCTGGTACACAGTAAGTGCTTAATAAATGCTACTTCTTATTGTAGTTGAAGAAATGATTTTCTGCTGGGTTGAGAATCCTTGGTTATAGTCCTGGCTGAATACAAAAATTAGATATGTAGTCATAGCCTGTTAAAATTTTGTGGCCTCAATTTTTGTCGTCTGCAAAATGACACTAATAGGCTAGAGCACCATTGAAATCCCTTACAGGCTGAAATTAGTTTAATAGGTTGTTCAACCTGTAGGTGTTATGCACCTACTACATTTAAATAAAATGCCCTGGGAGAGTTGGAGATGCAGAAATGGCACAGTGACCTATACCTTTGACCTGTAAATGAACAGCCTTTTATTTCACATTCTTCCTTTTTCCATGGTTCATGTTTTTATTTCTATTCATACCTAGGAAATCAAGACATTTGTGATCCAAGCAGGCATTCCTTTCAGTGTGGATTTGCAGCAAAAATAGTCTATTAGGTTTATTATATCACATCTTCATGTTAGAGAATTTCGTTTCTTTGGGCAAAAGATTGCTTATTATGAAATTGGAAAGTAAAGATCTCTTAAAATATTTAGTGAGATTTTCTAGAGTAAATTGACGTGAATCTTGACTCTGGGAACTGCATCCGGATCCTTTTAAAGAGAGACCCCAGAAACT